ATAACTTTCTTGCATACAGGGAACTGGATCAGCAGGTGCAACCATCCGAATCTACATCGAACAGTTTGAGCCTGATGTTTCAAAACACAACATGGACGCCCAAGAAGCACTAAAACCATTAATTGGTTAGTTGCTCTTATCATTTCTGTGATTTTAGCGTAGTTTCCTCATAAATATTTTATTGTGTTGTCAGATTTGGCATTATCTGTTTCCAACCTGAAAGACTTCACAGGAAGGGAGAAACCTACAGTCATCACATAGAGCACACATCTCCCCCCATCAATCGAAGTGCTATCTGCGTAATGATAAACTGAAGGTTGGGCCCTCCTTTCTTCCTGCCTCAAATGATCACGCATGTTCTTTCAGCTTAGTTTTGCTTGTATGCTATCTAATCTATAGCATAATTAAACAATAGATCATGCCATGTAGTTCTTGCAAAATAAAGTCACGGAAATAAAATATCTCCCTCTAATGCTATTTTGATGAAAATTTGACTGAAGTAGATTGCACAGATAAGAGTGAGATGCCTTCATTGTAACTCAGGTTCAGTTGAAAAATCATTGAGCCCGACCTTTCCTAGTTTCTAAATCTCACATTCATTTTTATGATTTCCTCTGATCCCATCCGAGTTCTACTGTTTTAATCCCAACCCTGGTTCCAGTGGAGGCAAGACAGTTGCACGATGTGATGTGGTGGGGGTGGCGGGCTGTGGGGGGAGGGGGGAGGGGGTTGTGGTGGGAAGGAGGGAATGCGGTACCGGCACGCACAGCAGTCCATTTCATGCCCAGGCCGTCCTGGTCATGGGCTGGTTCTTGGGTTTGACCTGGTCCAGTCCCTAACAGGCTCGATTGGGCCCGGCCCACTTTCCACCTCTGTTGCCCTCGTCTATGATATAGGCTGATCTAACTTTCAATACCAAGTAGGCAAATAGCAGGTCAGCCCTACCTTTATGTTTAGTTGGATCTTCTTACATTTCAAGGACTGGAACATGAGATGGATTAAGCCTCTGTTGTATTGTTATTGTTATTTTAATATGGGAAAGTTTTGGGAAACGGATAAAGGATTTTCGGCTTGAATTGAACTTGGGACTTGTGGGTAACTATGCTCTTGGGCTTGGAACATTAACCATTTAAGTGTCCGTTTGATATAATTGGAGTTTTTAATAAAAGGCTTGTTAGAACTTTTAATAAAGTTATGTTGGAAAGTAATTGGCGAAAAGTACTAGTTTTATAAATAAAAAGAAAAATGAAGATAAAATAAAAATAATATATTAATTTTATTAAAATTCAAATGAGAAGTTTATGCAAAAACACTAATTTGGTGCTTATGAAATTTGTAATAAAATGAAAAAAATGTTAACTTTTGAAAAGTTATAACAGTTTTCACTAATTATAATTTTTTATGCAGTTTGTATTTTTGAAATCAAGAAGTTTTTTCTCACAAGCTGCATCAAACAGACAGTAAGTCATTAGGTAAGAGGTGAGAGGGTCGCATGGTTAAAGTGGGGGTTTTTTTTGGTGGGGGAATATTTACATTCAGCTTGTCTTTGGGGTAATTTTTACATTTCTTAAAATTAATACCTTTTTAAGTAATTTTTAAAATGTATCATCATACTAACGTATATTTAAAAATTTTATTTTTTTTAAATATTAATTTTAAAACTTAAATCTTACATTTAATTTGTAAATCAATAATGGCTTTCCATGTTCTATTTGGATAGTGTTTCTGATGTAAAATAATTTGTACTTGCCATTGACAATTGTGGAATTTAATAAAATTTTAATTATACTCAACAGTGAGTCCGATGCTTGTGCTTTCCTCTCGAAGCTTCCAAATATGAAATTCAGCTTCTATCTTATTAGTAGTTAATTAACTTTAAAATTTAGATACATAAGTTCTATTTATTTAGCATAATTATGGTTTCAAGTTTTTGGTTTTTATTTTTATAACTTTTACAAGTAATGAAAATCAAAATTAAAAATTAAAAATTTGTTTAAAACAAAATTTAACATTTTGAACTAAAAATATTTACTTGCTTATAGTATTAAAATTATTTTTATTTTTATATTTTTTTAATAATTATATAATGTGTGACAAAAATACATGAAAATAAATGAATTTTTATTTTAGAATTGCAAAAATTTTATAAAACCCAAAACTAAAAAATTTAAAACCACAACAATACAATCCTAAACGAATCCTTAGGCTTTAGTTGATAATACTTTGCACAAACTTTTTGTAGACATCTTATCTAACGATGTAAATTTAAAAATTTTAAATTAATTTTAATTAAATTTTGATATATTTTTATTAATTTTAATTAATATTTTATATATTTTTATAATCCTAAAAGACAAAAAAACCCTACACATAGCGCAACGCAGTACAACACCTATAAAATTTAGTCAAATTGCGAGTTTTGGTATCATTTTTTTAATTATATATTTAGTGATAACTAATACTATAATTAGATACCATTAAAGTTGATTCTAAAGTCAAGAGTTTATTATCTAACTCAAATATAATATTAACTACTATATAAGAACAAATAAAAATGAAGAACCAAAACAAAATCTTAATCTTATATATATTTTCTCTTCCATACCTATAAGCTCTTAATAACCTCTAAGAAACTTTCATAAACTACCTATAGCTAAAAAAATTAATCTTAATACTCTAATTAGGTAGAAGAATCTTTCTATCTCGATATCCAAAAATAATGGGGGCACTCTCTCTCATCGCTTCATAGAGATGAGTTATAACCACACCATACTCATGGTGTTTCAGCTCACATATTTCAATATTGCTAATAATATATATTTATATTAAGTTACAAGTATTAGAGTTAAGTTTATAATTGAAATCCATACCTCACTTTAATTTGGAGTTTTCAATTTTATTCCCTAACCAAAATTCTTGTCAAACATGGATTACTACTCCAGCTGCATATGTTCTAAAACTTTCTTTATTATTAAGTGAGAAAATCTCACATCGAGTATAAAAGTAAAAAGTTTGTGAGTTAAATACAAGGAAAGGCTACTTCACCTATTGTCAATTGGTTTTAGGTTGGATGTAAACCTTATATTAAGCTTACATGCACAATTTTTACATGATATTAGAGCCAATATTCTATCTTGGGAAGCCCGTTGTTAGCCCACTTGATAGGATTCAAAGTTGACACTGGACCAACATGTAAGGGTGTGTTGAATGGGAAAATCCCACATCGAGTGTATAACAAAGAAACTTGTGGTTACCAATTGATTTTAAAGTGGATGCAAGCCTTGTATTGAGTTCACATGCACAATCTTCACATTGATATTCCGAAACTTTTGCCAAATTTTGTGAACTTTGTTTTAAACTTTAATTTCTTCAATAAATTCAAGGCATGAATCCAAACATCTTTTTGGTATTAACCTCTCGATATTCGATAACCACATTGGGTCCTGATTAATTCGGAATCAAACAGTGTTGAACCTCATTAAGGGGAAGCTCTCCCAACACTTGTTTCTCCATTCACAAGACTCGAACTCAAGACCTTGCTTAAGGAGAACCGAACTCCTTCTACTCAGACCAATAAGTCGTTGATATAAACCCCAACATCTTAATGTACATATATTGAATGCCTACTCTAAAGATTGAATTGATATTTGAATCAAAGTCTTCTCAATATTCTTAGTTTATGAGTAAATTCCTTTGTGTGAGGAAACCATCCACTCATGAACATAATGTTTACATGTTGGGAGAAACAGTCACCATCAACTTTGGTATGCAGTACATGTATAAGCTCATGGTACATGTTGGACACTAACTTTAATCAAAAGTCAAAGCTAATTTCATTACTAAGCATCCTCATTGTTCGTGTTGGATCACACCAACTTGAATCAAAAGTCCTAGCTAATTTCATGAATAATCTTCATCACAAACACTACTTTGATATATCAGTTTAACTGCAACTCAATGTCAACATGACCAGTTGCAACCACTTAATCTAAGGTATCACGTCATCTTCCATATCGTCAAACAGATCCCATATCTAAAGACACAACCTAGTGGTTCTCTTCAGCTCAAGTTTTTGAATTTGTAGGTACTAGGTTCTTATTGGTTTAGTTCAGGTTCATACATGTTTGGCTTCCCGACCGATGATTATGGCACAACTAAGACAAGCATATGACATGATACCACTTGCCAAAATTGTTGTTACTCTCAAGATTTGAAAATGGTAACCAGCACAAACTCAACATGTCCCACACAGCTTCCAACTACCTAATGTCTGTCACCTATTGGCTTTTGCTATCTTCCCAAGTTCCAATTATCGAATAGTGTGACACTGCCTCACATAGTTACATCAACGTCCCTCAATCAAGATTCACCACGGCACACACAGGATGAGGGTACTTGTAAACGTGTGCCTTTTTCCAATGTAAACGAAAATTTTAAAATCCCATTACAATTGTATGATCAAAACAACAAACGATTTGAACCTGGAATCTAAAGGTATTGGGACCTTTGCACCGAGGTTTTTTTCTTTTGTCTCTACGTTTATTGCCGGTTTGCTCCAGTACATCTAATGATCATGTTGACCATCCATTTTGAACATGAGCACTTCAATATGAAGGTTTAAACTTTTAACTATTAAAACATCCTTATGTATTGTTCATTTCCAGTTATGTCATTGAAGTGTGTTCCAATATTTGGAAGGTTCATAATGGTTATTATTAGATCCCTAATTTCTCTAAACTTTGCTAGTGCAATTAGACGAGTCAATGACGGTCTTTGTTTTATGACTAGGATGAACTATTTCAATTGAAAACTTATGCAACCCATAACTCAGGATCACAGTTTTCTTTATATTGCGAAATTATTTCATGTTCTAGTCGTATACAGTCGCTTTCCAAACTTTATTTTTTTGGAAAGTATTAGTTTAGTTGACAAGGACTACTCTCCTACTTGTGTTTTTTGTTTTTTTTTTTTTCCTTTTTGAAAATTAGAGATCATATTGAAATTAGAAAATGAAATTACATCAGAATTTTTAAGCATGGCACTATAGCTTAAAAATTGAAGCATATCGTATAATATTAGTTACAGATTTAGGCTTCATTTGACAACACGTACTTCATATTGCTTTAACTTTTGATTTTTATGTCTTTTTACTATTATAAAAATATATAAAATTTTAATCAAAATAAATATTAAAATATATTAAATATATTTAATATATTTGTAGGACATTAAAAGACTAAAACACGAACAGTTGCAGTTGTAGGCTAGTGCTTTCAAACTAAGCCTTAAACTATATTCATGATGAATCTACAACTAAAGGGGGCTATGTATACTTGGAGATTGACTTAGCAATTGTTGTATGGATATAGTAGGGGTACAAATGTAGAAAGAAAGTCGCTACGGAGCATCTTGAGCTTTTGGACATTCATACTTACTAAGCCAACTTCTTGAGGAGAACAAGTGATTAGGCTAACAACAATCTTCACCTATTGATAGCCCTACCTCATTCATGGAGCCATTATCTTGGTGAGAAAAGGGTATCCCCACCTTCTAAATCATACACAATTAATTGAATTAGACCAGCAATAATCAAAATCTCCATCATTATCGAAAACCACATCTTTACCTTTGAATTTGGCCACCTAGCAACAACCCTTGACTTTACCCACAGTAGTGATTTTCTCCTTTAATACTTTGACAATTGGAGAACCATCAGAATATGTTATGAGTCTTACGAATTATCATCCATAAACCCAAGCATCTTGGCCTGCATCTACTAGAAGCCCTAGCCTTAGCATAACTTGCAAAACCACATCCACCAAAGAGGGAAAAATAGATGAAAAAAGAGCAAGTGAGGTAGAACA